GAAACCTGAAGCAGCTTGTTGCTGTTCTATAGGGACAGGCTGGGGACAGGTTTGGAGCTGAGCTTAGAGAAGTATCTTATATGTGTGTACTCATCTGAGAAGGATTTTACAGCTTTTGCTGTGACCATGACTGTGGGGTGGATGTGGATGTCATAATTTGGAGTCCCTCCTGTCTCATTTTTGGGTGTAGTGATGTTGGAACTCCTCCTCTGTACCTGAACTGCTGTAGCAGTCTATCTAGCTAATGTCAGAACACTTAAAAAGCATCCTGACTGGTCCTTTTTTTTTTTTTTATTTCTCCCCAAAGCCCCCCGGTACATAGTTGTATATTTTTCATTGTGGGTCCTTCTAGTTGTGGCATGTGGGACGCTACCTCAGTGTGGTCTGATGAGCAGTGCCATGTCCGCGCCCAGGATTCGAACCAATGAAGCACTGGGCCGCCTGCAGCGGAGCACGCGAACTTAACCATTCGGCCACGGGGCCAGCCCCCTGACTGGTCCTTTTACTCCCTTTCCTCTCCTTCCCATCCAAGCTCCCAGGCAAACAGGGGTAGGAGTCCCCTGGCTTCTTAAGCTAGTTGTAGATACACAGAAGATACACACTAAATATGTGGCTAAAATGGTGACATTAAGCATGTTAGGCAAACCTGATGGGCTTATTATATTTGTAGTGACCCCTCTCCACAAAATGTTAAGTATCCAGAAGAATACAGAACTGCCAAGGGTCCGAAAGTTCAAAGAATGAAGAATATTGATGTTGCACACCCATGGAACATTTAATAAGTTTAACCAATATGGAGACTGTCATAAAAAAACAACTCTTTAAAGCTGTTATGTCAGCTTTATGAACAGCTGAGTCTGTTCAACGTTTACCACTCAAAACATGGTCTGTGACCAGCTGCACTGACATCGTCTGGAAGCGTGTTAGAAAAGCGGAATCTCAGGATCCACTGCGGGTCTGCTGGACCACAAGGTGAAGTGCGTTCAGTAGGTCCCCAGGTGACTGCTGTGCACATTAAAGTGTGAGAACCACTATGTGAAACACTCAGAATGCCAGGCACTCTAAGACAATGATAGAGCCTGGGCTCTAGAGTCACACAGTGTGGGATCAAATTCCAGCTCTGCTCCTCACAGCTGTGCACTGCTGAATGTGCTGAGTCTCACAAAGCTTTGCTTTCCAAAAACGTGAATTAGAAATAGGAGCCCTTCCCTCCTCCTTGGGTTGTTGTGAACACTAAATGTGAGGTAATGCAGTTGAAGAATCTTCAATAAAGTGCCAGTTAGCCTTATTATATTCATAATAATTATTAACATTATTTTCGTTATAGAATAAGAAAGATTGCAAATGACTTTTGAGATCATAGTAAGAACGTGAAGATGAATTCAATGTGATGCCATCATGTTCCTCTTAACAATATTTACAGCAGACTACACTTTGATTTTGGGGGTGCTATGTTTCTCTCCAAATCTGTGTCCCAATATATCTATGCACATTTTGTTAAAATGTAAATAAATAGAATAAATTTTCACATAGTTCCCTAAAAAATTTTTATAAATGTTTCTCCTGCCCTGAACGCTTACATTATCTCTCTTAACACATTTGTCTTGATCTTATCTTACTTAATATTGTGCAATGCTTTGTGCAATTCTGATCTCCTCTACTGTTTTCTTTCCCACCTCCTACTCATTTAACATTTAATATATATCATTCATCTTTTATGAGTCTGTTTTCTTTCGTCTGACTAGATTACAAGGTGTCTTGCATAGAATAGACACTCAGTACATATGAAGAGATGGTGTGCCTAGATTCAAATCCTATAGATTGTAGGAACTGAATAGCATTGATGAATAGTGCTGGACATAGTAGGAAAATAGAGCCATATGTTGGACAAAAATCAGCAAAACAGTGAGGTCACTGTGTGAAATGCATGGGCATGTTTACAATTCACTGAACTTGAGAAAATTCATTTTGTTTGGAGGTTTCTTAGTTTCTAATTGAATCTAGGCAATTGAGAAATAAAGTTCACTTGATATAATTCTATTAAAAGCATTAATTTCATGGTCATTATTTTCTGTTTCTATATTCAAGAAATATTATAGTTGGTGAACCATTGAGCTTATCCTTATACATTTGAAAAATAGTATGATATAGTAGTTGATAGAATTAACTTAGAATCAAAGCTAAGTTCAGTTCTCAGTTTTGTCACTAACAAATTGCATAACTTTGGCCAAGCTATTTAACCTTTTTGTGCTTTAGTTTCTTCATATGTAAAATGAGGATAACTGAAAACTTCATGCCATTCTTGGGAGGATTCGGTTACTCTATGTCGAATACATAGTTCAGTGCGTGTCCAATAATGCGTGCTGTGTATGTAATACAAAACCAGCTCTCATGGAATGCACAATGTGGTGGAGGAAGCAGGACATTACAGGGGAGTTATAATGGCTGTAATAGAGGAAATAAGCTATGGAAGAAGGTAGAGGAGCCACTCACTCCAGACTTGATGCTAAGATGGTCAGAGGTGGGAGTGGGGATAATGTTTTCGCTTTGGGTTTTCATTTTTTTCCTCAGAAGAAGTGAGGTCAAAGTTGAGACCCGACCAATAGTATGAATTATTCTGAAGAAATATTTAGCAGGCATTTCTACCTGTAGGTAGACAATGTACTTTATCTGCTACTGAGGATTATTAAATCATGATGAAATGTTATCAGTCTTTGAAAGGGATCTGTCAGTGAAATAAATTTGGAATTACCTAGACTTACAACAGAAGTCAAAGGTTGAAATCCATTCACGGAGAGTGAGCACACTTGATACATGGAATGTTTTGAAGCTTGCTTGATATGTTTATCTTGAATTAGTCAATACTCCCACTGTTTTTCAGAATGCTTTGGTGTTGGTATATGAACCTAATGGATCTGTATAAATATTCTAGAAATGGACATAATTACAGACTTTACATGAATATTGGGGAAAAAAGCAATTTATCATCATATGCTTTAAAACTTAAATATACCATGTAAGCATTTTGGCTTTTCAGTGAACTAATACATTTTAATCTAGAGGATATACATACAGTCTTACATTTATTTTCCCAGTTGAAATGTAGAATTGTAGAAAGGTAGTGTGGAATTAGAAGTCAACGTTAGTATACCAATTTGCTTAAGAAAGTTTAATATAAAATGCATTTGTCTACACGATTATTGTTAATGTAAATTTCACAAATATGTTATTTTAGACACATTTATTTAAAAAAGTGCAGCTCACACAAATATTCAACTAACAATGTAACTTCTTTTCCTCTAAATTCTTTATTTCCTTTTTTTTGTATGTCAATTTCTTCTTCTGAAAAATAGGAAGACTGGTATTCTGTACTAATTGGCTTGATTACATACTGTTTATCATGCATTTTGACAGCTTTAAGAAAACATTTAAAAGTAAAAGCTTTGTAGTTTTATAAATATGAATGTTTAATGAAATTTAATGGGCTCCAATTCCTAAATATTCTGAAAAGGAAATTCTTTATGAAATATTTCCATTGGGCATTTCATCAAAAATATCTTTGCATCTGTTTGTTACTATCAAGTTTGTTTTTGTTTTGTTTATTTTTGCTTGAGGAAGATTCACCCTCAGCTAACATCTTTGCCAATCTTCCTCTATTTTGTATATGGGATGCCACTACAGCATGGCTAGATGAGCACTATGTTGGTCCATGCCTGGGATCTGAACCTGCGAACCCAGGCCACTAAAGCAGAGCATGCGAACTTAACCACTATGCTACCAGGCCGGCCCCAATATCTAGTATTTTAACAGAACCAAATGATGCCTCTTTTACATAAACATCTAATTTAATCATTTATCATTCCATCTCTCTCACAAAAAGAAAAAAAAAAACAAGAGGGTAAAAGAGGGAGGCATTTCTGGCAGAGGAAACTTAAGGTAAATGACCACCATCATAAAGTACCCAAATTTTAACATTTATACTGAGGTCTTTTAACTTCAAGCTCAGTTCTTTTTTATTCTATATAATATCAGAAAATCTCTTTTTGGTTTAGGTTTTCATGCTTAAAAATGAGAGACTTGTAATCAGGCATTAATCAGTGCTATAGCACTCCTGTACAAATTCATGTCATCGTGAGATTTCTGCATTGGAAAATGCTTCTATGACAAAGGCCTTATTTTCCTATAGCTGCCCATAAGCAATTTTATTTTCTATTAGAATGTAAAGTTTGTTCAGATCTCCACAGGAGGCTATAGGTGTGTTGGTTAAAAATGCTCTGAATTCAGTTCAAATCCAGGCTAAGTGACCTTGAATAAGTTATGTAGTCCTGCTTTGCCTTAGTTTTTTTATTTGTAAAAAAGGGAAGATAATGTTAATACATACCTTGTAGAGTTGTTATAAATATATATGTTATATATGTATACATATAATATATTTATTTCTTAGTAAATCATCTGACCCATACAAGCATAAATTTCAATACTTTTTATACAAATAAAAATAAACAATACTAACAAAAAGCTTAATCATGATTCATGAGCATATTTAATCAGATAACAATAAGCTAGGCTTCCTGTAGGTTAAAGCAATTTCTCAATATTTATTATAGAACATATTCTTAGGGCTATGTGGAATATCAGTTTACTGCTATGAGCCACAGCAGTAATTGGAAAAAATACAAAGAATTGCTTAGGGAAAGGATAGTGTTTTATTCATCTTTAGTTATCTGTGGCTAGCCAAGTTCATTTGGGTAAGAGTAATTTTAGAAGGGAAAAAGAAGCAAGTTTTTTCCAAAAAATCAATGCCTCTCAGACACTGAATTTTTGATATATGGTACAAAAACAACCACATCACAGAGGTGATTGATGCCACACAGCATGTCTGTGTTCAGTTCACAGGAGAGAGACTTCCACGTGTCTGTAGTTGGAAGTACTCAGTGGTGTGATATAAATGATCAAAACTAATAAGCCTTTCCTTTACTTTTTTTCTTAACAATGTGCAGATTCCTCCAAAGGACCTCAGCCATCTTCAGGTGCGAATGGCAACATGCAGCCCCCGGGCACTGCTGCGCAGCCCCCTGCCTCCGCCATCCCTTCTCCAAGCGCCAGCAAGCCCTGGCGCAGCAAGTCCATGAATGTCAAGCACAGCGCCACCTCGACCATGCTGACGGTAAAGCAGTCGAGCCCTGTCACCTCTCCCACACCATCTGCAGACAGACTGAAGCCCCCTGTCTCGGAAGGGGTCAAAACAGCTCCCTCGGGACAGAAATCCATGCTTGAAAAATTCAAGCTGGTCAATGCTCGGACTGCTTTACGCCCCCCACAGTCTCCCAGTTCAGGACTCGGTGACGCTGGGAAGGATGACGATGCCTTTTCTGAATCTGGTGAAATGGAAGGTTTTAACAGTGGTCTGAATAGTGGTGGCTCAACAAACAGCAGCCCCAAAGTGTCACCTAAATTAGCCCCTCCAAAAGCTGGAAGCAAAAATCTCAGCAATAAAAAGTCTTTGCTACAGCCAAAGGAAAAAGAGGAAAAGAACAGGGACAAAAATAAAGTTTGCACTGAAAAACCGGTCAAGGACGAGAAGGATCAGTTGACAGAGATGGCTCCAAAAAAGACCTCTAAAATTGCAAGCTTGATCCCAAAGGGCAGTAAGACAACAGCAGCCAAGAAGGAAAGCTTAATCCCATCTTCCAGTGGGATTCCAAAACCGGGCTCAAAGGTGCCAACGGCAAAGCAAACCATTTCACCTGGTAATGCAGCAAGCAAAGAGTCAGAAAAATTCAGGACTACCAAGGGAAGCACTTCCCAGTCTTTGCCCAAGCCCATGACCGCTGAGAAAGCAAGCACATCCCACTGCCCTGCTCCTTTGGAGGGAAGGGATGCCAGCCAAGCTTCTCCCGCTGGTTCCTGTGCTGTGCCGGTGGCACAAGGCCTTGGGCAGGGTGCCGGAAATGGTGCTGTCCAGCTCCCTCAACAGCAGCAACACAGCCACCCGAACACTGCCACGGTGGCACCATTCATTTATAGGTAAGGCGACCTCTGTTCGTCCCCAGTAGTGAATATTTACAGGTCCTCCTCCTCAGCGTGTGATATGAAGGCTGCTGGAGTCCTGTTGTGTATCGTCATTTTGGAACAATGTTTCAATCTGATGATATAGGCCTAGAATTTAATTTTTCAAGAAAAACCCTCCAATAAGCTTTAGTCCTATTTGCCCTCCCCTCCCCTCCCCTCTCGTCAGGAACTTGAAGGCCTCCAGAGTTAACCTGCTTGTTACTGAAGGCAAAATAGAACTCAGATGCCGTGAATTCTCCTGTGTCTATTACTGTTACTACTAGTACTGCTGTTTTTATTATTAGTCTTTTAAAATAATTCTCAGGACTATAGAGTTCATAGATATTTTTATTTTTACCCTTAGGAGACAGTATACCATAATAGTTAAGGGGGAAGGCTCTGGAATCAGACGGATGTGGATTTAATGCCCAGCTCTGCCATTTACCAGCTCTAAGACTTTGGACAAGTTGCTTAACATCTCTTAGTCTCATTTTCTCCAGCTGTCAAATAGGAGTAACAGTGTCTACTTTGTAGAGTTGGGAAGAGTAACAGGGATAATGCATATAAAGTATTTACTGTATATTCTGGCACATTGCAAATGTTTGTTAAATGTTCTTTATAAGGCATCGCTTTCCCAACATAAAATTTATAGTAATTTTCCACAGCTAGGCATAAGTTTCTAGACAAAAATAATAATCTATATAATTATTATATTTATACTTTAATTTGTTTTTGCATTTTATTTGTTTTATTTTGTGTATTAGAATATACAATATATGCTATATTTTAAAATATCTACCTTACTCTACGGTTATAAAAATAGCACATTTTGCTTATTGTCCTGTGGTTTGTTTTAATCAATTAGAAATATGTCACTTACCGCTGTGTCTCCAGTTTCATTCACTGTCTTGTCAGTGAGCAGACGCCAAGGGAGGAACAGGCGTCCCTAGGCAGGTGGGCAGTTCAACAATAGGGAAGAAATGTTCTGAATAGGAAGTAGGACCTGCTATAATTAAGGAAGAGTCAAGATTAGAAAGTTAGAAAATCTATTAAATTTATGGGTTTTTGAAGTAAAGAACATAACTATAATGATTTGTTTTCCCTCAATGAAAAACGTAAGCGCTTTTTTTCCTGGGACTTCATATACCCAGCAAAACGAATTTATACTTATTGCATTTTAGCTCCCGGGACACCTCATTTAAGTTTACTATTCTGGCTTCAGTAGCAATAACTCATTTTAAACCTTTGTATTTGAATCAGATGGGAGTCTGCAACTCTTTCTAACTCCAGAGTCCCGATCTGACAACGGGGAATTTAAGATGTCAAATCATAATCCACCTTTCAAAAATATATGAAAAAATCACAAAGTTTTAAACGTCATACTCAGCATACTTGTGGCTCTTAAATATATTCTGTAAAAACATCAGTCATTTCGAATCAACACAAATGAATTTCATAGAAAAGTGCAAATCTAAGCGGAAAGAATGTATCTGCCAGTCTAGTTGCTCCTTTCTAGAAGTCGCAACAGGCATTTTTGTTTGTTTGTTTGCAATAAAGTATCCAGTGGATATAAATTCAGTGGTGTACATTTGAAAACATAACTTTGACTCTTGAAAAGAGGAAGCAGCAGAGCTTAGAGGTTAAAGTGTGGATCAGCTGTGTGACCTTGCCAAACTCTCCAACCTCTTGAGTTTCTGATTGCCCTCTTTAAAATGAAGATTATACAAATGAGGTGGTGTGGCCAATTTAGCTAAAATACTGGCTGTAAAGTCTGCTGGCTCTGCCCTTGTTCAGAAACAGCATCTGGTTTTGTTGACATGATGGCCCCGAGAGCCAGGTTGCCTGGGTTGGAATCTCAAAGATGCCATTTATTATTTATGTGACTTTAGGTAAAGTATTTAAAGACTCTGAGCTTCAATTTCCTAATCTATAAAATGGGGATGATAATAATAGAAGCTTCCTCATAAGGTTGTTTTGAAGATTAAATGAGTTAATATTTATACGGAACTTAGAACAGTACCTACCGTATAGTAAACGGGCTTTCCCAAACTTCAATTTCTAATCCTGTGAATGGTGGTTGGTAAGAATGTCTACCTTATTTGGTTGTTTTAAAGATTAAATAAGGCTGTCCCATGTAAAGACTTTAGCACAGAGCTAGATTTGTAATAAATGACTTACAAATGTCAGTAATTATTTGTATTATTGTAATTATATAAAGTAGTTGAAAATAAATAAAATCATCTAATAAAAAGGTTTCACATTATAGTCTATACATGAGCCAAGAGTGGCCTGAAATCTTTTATCAAGTCAGAATAATGGTATAAATGATCATGTCAATCCTCTCAAGGTAGAGTAGTCAATATTCAAGCTTTTTAACTCTCAGTGAGAGATATTTATATCATAGCATCATGTTGTCTGCATTATGTGACCCCTGGTGTCTTTTCAACTCTGACTGTTCCAACTCTATTTAAGAATCTTCCTGCAAAATCCCTGACAGACTTTTCTGGAGTTGCTAATCATTTGAAAGATAATAGTAATAAGTTACTATTTTATAATGGTATTATCAGTGAAAGTCTCTGTGTTGCAAGATTTAGGTTCATTTTCTCACTTAAACTTTATCATAAACCCATGAGAAAGAAATGTTGTCTCCACTTTACAGAGAGGAAGAAGCAGAGATTTCAAGTCAGAATAGTGATCATCTCTTAAAGTCACAGGGCCCCTAGGAGTTTGCCTTTGCACCCAAATATGAGTCTGGAGCATGCCCTCCTTTGCTCATCAGTTCTTTCTGCATGTATAGAAATGAGGTATTGTTACCAGGGACATTCTGGCTAGGAAAATGTCAATTGTAGATCCACACAATTCTCAATCAGAACTCATTTATAATGGAAAGTGCTTAATTGCTTTTAAATGCTATAAATTTAAAATATATGTGTGTGTGTATGTAGAAATGTACTTGTGTTTGATATTTAAAGATAATTAAATGACTTCTATAAAACTGGAAGATTGACCGCTGATGGTGATGGTTTTCTCCATTTATCAGCCCACTTCGAAGTCATGCTAGGTTATTAATTATACCCTCTGCGACTCTAATAGATGTTTCATAATACTGGTTCTTGCAAGTTGAATATTCAGAGTCCTATAAATATAATGTTTGGTTCTGGAAGTTAATGGATTTCATATTGGTCCTACTTCTTATATAATGCAAGTACATTCTATATTAAGTTTTGTAACTCATTTATCACTAAAATGTGATAAAAAGTGTTTTGAATTTAATATATCCTTATCCATTTAATGAGTATATATAATTAAAATCAAAGATGTGACTTTTAAAAGAGAAGATTTTAATTCAATGTAAGAATATCCCAGTAATTAGACGTATCTGAATGGAACAGGCTGCCTTTGTAAGTGTTAGTGTGACTACCAATTGCCATAGTTTAGGTAAGGGGAAATCACCAGATACTTTTTCATTTATGTATTCATCACTCATTTTGCAAATACTATGTAATGAGCGTTACAAAGATTAAAAAGCTCTCTGCCCTTTGAGAACTCAGTCTTTTGAGATAATGGTAAGAATATAATAAAAAATAAAAAATGATTGATATTGTGGAAGTATTTGCAGCAAATAACATAGAAGAAAGAGTTTTCTTAAGTCTTACATGAGGGTAGAGTCAATGAATGCATCATAAGATAAGAGATGAGACTTAAAGGATGAGTCAGAATTTGTCAGGTGGGAGGGAGAATGTTGCAACTTCATCCAGATTTGACATTCTACAATTCTACAATCCAAGCATGATGAAAAATTAATAGGCAAATTATGACATGCTATGCAAATGCTGGTAACTAGAACTGTCACAGAGACTGGAGGTTAGGATGCCTGATTACTTGAATGGGAGACTAAGGGAGAAAATTTGGCAAGAATACACATTTTGTTCTTTTTCAGTCACTCCTTCCCCACATCTTATTTTCAGCCAGTCCTATTGGCTCTTCCTGCAAAACATACCGTCAGTCAGGCATTTCTTTCCATTTCCACCCCACCCCTCCTGGTCCAAACCACATCATCACCAATTCTCACCTAGTATCCAATGAGTCTTCTAACATCCACTTTTGACCCTTTCTAATAACACCCTTCACACAGTAGAGACTCTAACCTTTGAAAAGTATGAATTGTGTATGTCATTCCAATTCATGAGAACATCTGTTGGATTTCTATTACACTTAAAAAATAAACTCACACACCTTGCCAAGACCTACAAAGTCCCTATGCAATCTGGCCATCTAATCTCAAGCCACACTTATACCATTCTCCCCCTAGTGTACTGAACACCTGCCATCATTCTGTTTCTCCGCAAACTAGGCTGTACTGCCTTGGGACCTTTGTCGTAAATGTTCCGTCTGCCTGTACTGACTCTCTTCCAGATCACAGCAGGCTCCTTCTTCTTATCAGATCTCTTCTTACATGCTACTTCTTCACAGACGCTATCTCCAACCATCTGGTCCAAAGGATCATCCCTCATGCCTCTGGCCAGAATTATACCCCATCACACTCTTGTACTTTATTCATAGAATTTATCACTATCTGCTATTTTTTGGTTTACTTATTAACAAGTGTGATTTCAGCCTCCTCTGACTGTAACATAAGCTCATTGAGAGCAAGAGTCTTGTCTTTTTTATTTAGTAGCATAATTTCCCAGGAAAGAGCCTACCCAAGTTGGCACCAAATAAAAATTGTTGAATGAAACACTATCATCATGAGTTAGGATTACCTGCTATAGAAGAATAGAAAAACTGCCCAAAATATACAGTGCAATAGGGAAAATTCTGAAGTCTCCTACTTCCTAGAAATGGAAGAGTGTAACTGAAATATAAACAGCTTTAAAATATTTAAAGAATGAAATCGTATCTTCTCTTCAGTAAATTCATTCACTTATTTCTTCTTCTTCTTTCAACAGCTACCTTGTAAGTACCTATTATGCATA